CCCTCAAAAATCTCCCGTGGCTCTCCCAGCGCCCCCCCCGCCGCGGGGGTGGGAGTGGAGGCCACAAGCCCCAGGGGGGGGAGGCCACAAGCCCCAGGGGGGGCCTGGGACCCAGGAGCGGGCCGGCCCGGCGGGCCCAAGCTTTCCCCGGTGGGGGTGGGCACGGCACTGCTGGGTGCGATCGAGATTGATATGGAAGGACTGGGCACGAAGACCGACATCCGATCCTGTCCACTTAGAGCCCGATTTGCTGTCGGCGTCGCCGCAGACGTTGCCCATTTGAGACAGAAGGCCGCCTGCCCAACAGCGGCCGCTGTCGGTTTTGGACTACATTCGGGGTCCTCGATTTGCCTCCCCCTCTGGGGCCATCAATATCGCCTCTTGGGGCCCTCTTTGGGCGCTCTTTGAGAGATCTTGGGCGCTCTTGGGGCCGTCTTGGGGGCCTCTTGGACCTTTCTTGGAGCTTTCTTGGGCCATCTTGGGGCCATGTTGAGGCCTCAAAAGCGCATCGGAAGCGAAAAGGCGAGCAGGCACAAATCATTGATGTTCCTTCGGTTTTTGAAGGATTTTGGCTTCTCGGGGGGGCCCCGAGGGAGCTCTGAGAGCACCTGGAACCGTCTTGTGGCCCTCTTGGGGCCTCTTGGAAGCATGTTGTTAGTTCTCTTGAGCCATGTTGGGCTATCTTGAGTGATCTTGCAGGCTATCTTGGGCTCTCTGAGGCCATCTTGGAGCCATCTTGACAGGAAAGGGGCCCTCTGCCACCTCGCGAAACCCCCCGTCCAGGTCCAGGGGAGGGGGTCGGGTAGGGGGAGGGGTGAACCCCTCCCCGAAGGGGAAGAGGGGATCCTTGGAAGGGGCGAGAAAGTCAACGTTGGACCACCTGTCGCCCAAAGGGCTGGCGGGATGAGTACGCCCTTGCTCGTCCCATGGATCTGGCGCGCTCCAGGAGCCCGCCCAAGGGCAAGGGCGCAGCTTCTGCGCAGTGGTACACCAAAGGCCAGGAGAAGAAGTGGTCCAGCTGGTGAAGTGAACCGGCGTTTGCCTCCAGCGAGGCCCCTTCGGAAGAGGGACACCCCCTCGGCGACCACGCGCCAGGTCCACGGATCCCTGATCCACGCCAGCGTGCGCCAGGGAGTCTCGGGACCCGGACCTCCCGTCGGCGGCGGGCCCCCGGGGGGGGGGGGGAATGCCGCGGGGGCGGGGCCTTCCCAGGAGGCGCGTGACGGCTTCCTGGCCTCCCGCGAAGTGCTCTCTGGGCCTCCTCCGGAGACAGAGGCGGCCTCTCGGAGGCCCGCTTGAGCAGGAGAGTTCCTTTCAATGATCGCCATTCTCGTGGAGACTGGCCTCCTGGGGCCGCGTAGACACTCCAAGCGAAACCCCAGCTCCCAGACCCTGCGTAGACCCTCCCCTGTGGACCGTACGAAGTCAGTCGACGCTGGCTCTTGCACCTTGGGCCCCAGACCCTGTACCGTAGACTCTGGCCTTCGACCGCGACGCGGCGGCGTCGAATCCCGGTCCCCATCTTCAGCGCCTTCGGCCGCCTGAAGGAGAGGGGGGGGCTAATTCGCATTTTGCTGCGGGGATGTGCCGGAGGGGGCATTGCAACCAGTATGCCCCCCCCCCCGAATAGACAAAAAGGGGCAGATCGAAGAAGTTCCTCTTTGTGCAAATTCAGCAGCGCCGGCAGCGCTGGCAGCGCCGGTAGCGCCGGCAGGGGCAGGCAGGGGGCCAGCAGGGCCGGCAGGGGCTGGCAGGGCCGGCATGCGGGCTGACAGGGCCAGCAGGGCCGGCAGGGCCGGCAGGGCCAGCAACGGCAGGCAGGGCCCGCAGCGGCCAGCAAGGCCGGCATCGTCGGTTGGCATGCCCGCAGCGGCAGGCAGGTTTCGGCAGCACGGCTGGCAGCGGCCTGCAACGGCCGGCAGGGCCAGCAGGGGCCGGCAGGGCCAGCAGCGGCTGGCAGGGCCAGCAATTGCCGGCATGCCAGGTTGGCAGCACATTTTGGGTATCTCTTGGTTTCCCAAATCCCCAGGGCTCGCCCTCATTCACGCCGACAGGACCAGCGGATTTTCTATGGTTGCGGCGAACGAGGAGGGAGGGAGAGGAGGAGTAGGAGTAGGAGGATAATGATGGTGATGATGCTGACGATGATGATGATGATGATGATGATGATGATGATGATGATGATGATGATGATGATGATGATGATGATGATGATGATGCTGATGATGATGATGATGATGATGATGATGATGATGATGATGATGATGATGATGATGATGATGATGATGATGATGATGATGATGATGATGATGATGATGATGATGATGATGATGATGATGATGATGAGGATGAGGAGGAGGAGGAGGAGGAGGAGGAGGAGGAGGAGGAGGAGGGGGAGGGGGAGGAGGAGGAGGAGGAGCAGGAGGAAGCGGAAGCAGGCTGGAGGCAGCGGATGAGCTATATTCGGTGTCTTCCATTTGTTAGTGACAACTTAGCAAGG